GGCAGCGCTGCTCTCGGCTCTAGTGTCATGCCTGTGCAGACATTTCCCGTCGCTTGGTGGGCGGGTGGTGTCGTGCGTGCTGAACCTAACGCGCTCTGGTTCAGTGCCTTCAGGTAAATCTGCCGTGCGAAAATGAAAGAAAACCCAAACTCTGTAAACTTCCCTGTTAGCTTAGTACGTTGTAAATCACATCAGTAATAAATCTGCAATGTAGTTACAGTCTGTTTCCAATGAAGTACGTTGTGGTTTCTTTCCCCACATTTTTCTTTAGTTAGGGCAGCAGAAGAAACCTTGGGGTGGTGTTTGTTTAAAAACGCAATTTGAATGGGAAGTCTTAAGGTGACAAATGATTTGCCTTTACACAAACACTGGCGGCTACGGGGGATGTGTGTGGTGGAGTGGATTTATGCTGACTAGATGCAATGGGGCGGTTTCTTTCCTGTATCCCATAGGAAGCTTTTTAACGTGGTGTATGCAAGGTACTGTCTGGCACTGACCTCTGAATCTTGGCTTAAATTTGTTTTGTATTAAAGTAAAGTAACTTTGAAAGTCCAACCAAATCCACTTGTGTATCTTCATTTATGGCTTTCAGCCAGAGGTCAGCTTCTTACTGTCTTTGTTCTTTGAACATCATGCATTTTGGCTGGGGCCTGTTTTCAGCACTGCAGTACAAATAGTAACCACTTGTTGCAATTATTAAAGTGCAGTCCTTCAAAGTTACTCTTTATTTGCTAAGAAGTTTCAGCTTACTGATAAAAAAAATTAAATTTACTCTTTTTTGAATTGTTTTCCTGAAACACTACTTAGTTCATTTCCTTGACACTGTTTAAGTGAAATGCTGTTTTAATAAATGAAGCTGTATTATTAAAAAAAAAATTCCTTACTTTTAGTTGCTGTCACTTACAAACTTCAGAAAAAGACAAAATGTCCTCTAGAGGGAGATCTTGATGTTTTTATGTGCTAAAAAGTTAGTCACCTTGTTCCTGTTAAACGTCTCGATCGCTTACCTTGGAAAGGATCTGTCATGGTGAATATGTATGTCTTAATGGGATCTTCTGGATCTGTGCTTGTAAATTTCATTGCAGAATACAGACCGTAGCCTGTCATGTAATGGTTCTGTAGGTTAAATGAAACATTCATCTTGTAAATCAAATCTTTCCAATTCTGAAGTTAAATGAGTAATCTTGACAAGTTCATGTACTACTCCTTTAGTAGTATTTGTGGCATCAATGATACAAATGCTTACGTAGATACCAGCTTTTGTACCAGATTCTCATTTTAATCAATCTTAGCAATTGAAGGATAGCAGTACTTTTTGACTACAAAGAGCAGAGGGTAAAAGATCATTTTAGCAGACACATCAATAGCTTGAATGTAGTTAACCCTATGCTTCACATGCTCTGTCAAAATTTTTGGAAAAAGCTTGATGGGATTGTTATGGTGGTGAGTTACTCAGCACATCACATATGCAGTCTCAGCATAAGATTTCTTTCTCACAGACACTTTGAAAAAGTTTTTTCCATAGTAAACAAGGCATTATGCTCTTATTTTTCTGTAAGTAGATGCAAATAGTGTGTTTGGTTTAGCTTCTGGCATAAGCCTGTTCTGTAAAACTAAAGGCTGTGTGAAACTTGCTCTGTGGGAAATACAGGTGGAAAATTTCCTCATACTGCAAGACTGCTGCATGGGTCAAAAATGTATTACCTTTAGATGCTAGTTGAGCCCTTCCTACATCTTTCAAGTCATCTGTATTGTTAAGAAGTAGATGCTGTTAGACTGACTCCAAAATAGTTGTATTTATATTCTTATAAATGTCCATACCAAATCACTGCATTATTAATTACCCTCTGTGTGCAGGGAAGTGCTACTGCAAATAAGATTGAACTGATTTACGGCACTGATGTTGCAAGTAATTTTCATTGTGTTGTGATATGCAAATGCATCTCTGCAGTGCATTAAAAATGTATGCAAAGTGCTTGGAGGCAAATGGTGTTGCATAAGTGCATAAGATGTGTTATAATAGAAGAATAAATTCCATACCAGGAGTAAAAGTAATGATTTTTTTCTTTAAGAAAAGCATATTTATATCCTTAAGTTACTCAAATTGTAGAATCTGTGATACATTGTGCTCTGAATAATCAATTCTTTATTGTAGATCATCATTTTGGAGGATTGCAGCGCGGAGATTTCTGGAGTCTGCTGTGTCTAGCCATAATGAGCTCGTCACTCGTTGCTTATGATGATTCAGACTCTGAGGCAGAAGCTGAAAAGACTGAACTTCCCAATACTTCTAGTCGACAAACAAGCCTTCCAAGTTCTTCTGTGGATCATGTTCAGTACTTTGCACCTGGTAGTTTGGGTACAAAATCTACATATGAAATGCAGCCTGCTGAGAGCACTGACAGTTCTGGCACAAGCACTGTTTGTGAAGATCCCCCTGAGCATTATGCACAGAATAATAACACTGATTTGACATCTCCTTATTGTAGGAGAGCATACTCTGGCCATACTGCATTATGTATGTCCTACATGAACTATGAACAGACATCAAGCTCTTCAACAAACTCTGTAAATGGCATTTCCCAGAAGAGAATTCATAAAGACAGTACTTCTGCAATAAAAGGAATTAGACCATATATCCCTAAAAGGTTGCGTCAAGAAAATTCCAGAATGCCTGAAAAAAAAGAATCTGATCAGAGGGATAGCTCAGATTGTGATGTTAAGCTAGGCATATCAGGAGAGCAGACTTTGAGAAGGATCTCTGAATTAATTAAGCCATATTTGGGATCCAAATATAAAGTAACTGAAGTCCCCAAAAGCTTAATATTTTACATGTCTAAGCACAGCGGCCCTGTTAATGAAATCCAGTGGTGTCCTGTACGAGAACAAAGTCACATGCTTCTCTCGGCTTCTATGGATAAAACAATCAAGGTAATGTACAACAAGATGCTTTGTGGACCAATCATCAAACTTAAAAATACTGTATTGAATAATGGTCTTCTGAGAATAGCATCCTTGCTTGTGTGTATTTAACAGTTCCAAAGTGTTCATAATTCAAGGAGATGCTTTGCAGGACAAAACCCTATTATGAACTTGCAGCCTAATCCTTCACTGTACCTACAGTCAGTTCTATTATTTTGGAATGTGGTTTTTTTATATTAGATGAATCAGTGTGTTAGATCTTAACTTAAGAAGTTAGATCTCTACTAGGTCATTTCTTGTAATTTGCATTAGTGTTAGGTTTTCATTATTTCCTACTTTTTACTGTCACAATGGCCATAAGCACTATGGTCTGGATAAAGATTCTGCCTCAAATCGTTAAACAACTGACCACCAATGCTGGAATAATATTTTGAGGAACTTTGCCTTTCTGACAGGCCTAAGTGACTCCTGCTGGAGAAGGTATGTTAGGTCAGATGTCAGTTTCTTTGGAACTAATGTGGCAGGTCTTGAATCCCAGAAAGGTGTCCTGTCATGACCTAAGGATCTTCCCATTTTAAGTTTGTTTAGAGGGTTAACTGCTCAATACTTAAAGTGTATTTTCCTTCTAGATTTAGTGAGTTTGGCTTCAGTTATTTGTTTGTTAATGTAATCAGTCCAATGAGTCTTACTTTAATTTTAACAATGATTGATAAAAATATTTTATGTGTATGCTTTCCCAGATACAGGGCTAATGCCACCTCTGGGTTCAACTAAGTCTTCCGAAGTGGGTTTACACAGGAACACAGTTTTGATAAGAGCACACAGAAAGTGTTCTTTTTGGTGGAAAGCATGCTTTATTGTATCTAGCATGTATTTAGCATAGCATGTACAATAATTTAAAAACTTGGTTATAAAATTTAGGGCTTTAAGTAAATTTCGTTAAGTAAAGAGGCAAGAAGAACACCCTTTGTATTGGCATACTTTTAAAATAAAAGGAGAGGAAGGAACTTTAAAACTGAATTTGAATTCTGATTTAATGTGGGAAAAAATATTCTTAAATTCTCTTATCAAAATTGATTTTTTTTTAAGTCTTTTGCTGTTTAGTTTGTAGTGAAGAATTCTTGTTTTACAATTTTTTTTCTTTCATTTTGTCTTTTTCCAATTTTGCCATGGGGCCCCGTGCTGACTTTTTATCTTTGAAACAGTGATGTTCTTGAATCTTGGAGAGAGTTTTTGCTTTTTTCTCCTTAATGTCTGTTAAAGCACTGCTGCTCACAGAGGAGAAAACTCTAGGTCTACAGCATGAATAAAATTTACTCCTCTCGATTGCTTTTCTTTTATTCTCGTAAGTTATAATAACATCTTTGGTTCTGTAGTCAGCTTAACCTGTCATATCGTCAAAGTCTGAATACTTCAAACTGGATGAGGCTTTGAGCAACCTGGTCTAGGGGAGGGTGTCCCTGCCCATGGCAGGGGCATTGGAACTTGATGATCTTTAAGGTCCTTTCCAACCCAAAACATTCTATGATAATTCCTCCTTCATCTTCTTTCCAAAGCTTTTTTTACATTTTTGTCTCAAAGATTAAATGGAAATTTAATGGAATGGAAAAAAGTACCTTTGTTTTTCTTTGCAAGTGTTCTTTAATATATTGAATAAGTTAAATCTTGGCTGCTACTTGAAGAACACACTTAGAAGGAAAAGAGTAAGATGTGCAAAAAATGCTGATAGATGTTTTTTCTAAGCAGCAATTTAATTTTGGATTGTACAAAACTATGTGGACCTCTGACTTCAGTATGTCTGAATTTGACTTTTTGGCTGTCACACCATATACTTAATGCTTGTTTACTACCCCAGAGCCTCATTTTACTGATGAGTGAAATTATGGATGTGTTAAATTGGGTAAAACAATCTAAAATGAAAGTTGTTACTGCAATGTAAAATTATTAAAAATGTAAATAATAGCCTGTCTGTTTTGTCTTCTAAGCAGAAAGAAAGATTATTTTCTAAAGCAGGTTTACCACCCCTGATTGGAAGCAGTCTTTAAACGTAGGTGCCCCAAACCATAGAAATTCAATGTGAATAAAGTATGTTAATGGTGGCAACACTTCAGAGCATGCAAGTCTAAAAAATTAATAAGGTAATAATGCAACTGTTACAAAGTATATTAAAACACACTTCCATATTTTGGAAGGTAGCCTGTAGAGAAATACCTGTGAGTGTTTCTTACTGTTACTTCTTAATGTAATCAAAGCCTGTAAGGGTATGAGCAGTAGCATCTTTAAAGTTTGCATCTTTACACAAATACCTTTCAGGCCAGTAGAGGGCACGGTTAGATTAAGTATTGGCTTGATGCTATGAAACTAATTTCAGTAACTTTCTAGGGTCATGAGCCCACAAGTCTCTAATGACTATGACAGCAGTAGTTTACCTTCTGGGGATGTTTTTGTCTGTCTACCATTGTCTGAAGTTCTCAATTTTCTGCTATAAGCATGAAACAACCGATTGAAAAAGCAGATGTAGATGTACTGTTTTGTGTTGTGTTTTTTTTTTTGTTTTGTTTTTTTATTTTTTTTTCTTCTCATCCTGTACCTTCCCACAGCTTACCTTGTTTGTTGTTTTCTTCCAAAAACAGCTTCTTGGAATTGCTAGTTTAAATCCACGCAGTGGAAGTGTTTCTCCTTACCTTTCAGGGGAACATACAGACACTCAGGATGTTTGCATGATTTACTTTGAACAGCTGATTCAGATAAAACTCAAAGCACAGTTAGAAGCCTAAAATCCCTGTATGATCAGAGAGAGTAGGCAATCCAGAGCCTCAAAACTCTGTACTTTCAGTTAACCATGTGAATAACTGTGAGTGAATATTTTTATGTGTAATTACAAGCTTAACATGAGCCGGCAATAAGCGCTTGCAGCCAAGGAAGCCAACTGTACCCTGGGGCTGCATCAAAAGAAGCGTGACCAGCAAGTCCCAGGGAGTTGATTCTCCCCCTCTACTCTGCTCTCATGAGACCCCACCTGCAGCACTGCATCCAGCTCTGGAGGCCTCAGCACAGGAAAGACATGGACCTGTTGGAGAGGGTCTAGAGGAGGGCCACAAAAATGATCAGAGGGATGCAGTACCTCCCATATGAGGAGCAGCTTTCCAGTACTTAAAGGGGCCATACAGAAGAGATGGGGAGGTACTCTTTATCAGGGAATATAGTGATAGGATGAGGGGTCATGATTTTAAGCTGAAAGAGGGTAGATTTAGATCAGATATTAGGAAGAAATGTTTTACTGTGAGGGTGGTGAGACACTGGCACAGGTTGCCCAGAGAAGCTGTGGATGCTCCATCCCTGGAGGTGTTCAAGGTCAGGCTGGATGAGGCTTTGAGCAACCTGGGCTAGTGGAGGGTGTCCCTGCCCATGGCAGAGGGGTTGGAACAAGATGATCTTTAAGGTCCTTTCCAATCCAAACCATTCTGATTCTCTGACCTTGGATTCATTCCTTGCATTCAGCCTATGTATTAAGATATTTATGAATCCAATGTTAATGAAGATTTCTTAGAGCTGAGAGTTCTGTCTAAGCAGATCTGACTGACTTGGGATAGTTTAAGTTGTGCTTAAAACAAAAGATCTATAATCCTTTGCCTTTTTTGTAGTATTTAGCCAAGCAATTTTTCATCTTTTATCTGTTCTTATGTGCTTAAATATTTTCCTCTTCAATTTTTCATCACAATCTAAGAATTTCCCTTTCTGGGAAAAGATTTTTTTTTTTGTTGTTTTTTTTTGTTTTGTTTTGTTGGCATGGAGAAGGAAGAAACACACGGTTTAGTTATCTTAATTTAGTGATCTTACTTTCTTTATTTCCATCTAAATTGCTAAACTTAAATTGCCCATATCACACGGTATGTCTAAAATGTATATATAGCACTGAGTATGTGATTTCTTACTTTTTAAGTGTGTATGTATCCTGCTTAAATTGGGGGAAAAGAAAGTTGCCCCAGATTAACCAACGTGCACTTTACCATCTTCTTTATGAATCAGTGTAAGTCATGCTACAATGTTTGCAAAAAAATGAGTTGTTGTTTTCAGTTTGTGTTGACTGAAGAACAGGCTAGTGTCAGGAAAGGTCATCTGACGCAGTTTGTATAAATATCTTGCAAATTTAGGAAGGAATGCACTGTTTCAGAGGATTTTATATTGTTCATTAAAAGTATTTTCTCTAATATTTTTTGTGTGTGGCTGCATTTAAAAAAAAAACCCAAACAGTTATCAAGTCATGCGATTGAAAAAAACCAGTTATCAGCTCAGAGGTGTAATTGTCTAGGGTAACACTTCTACCGGCAGATATGGGGCTCCTCAGCATCTGAGACTAGAAGATTTTGATGCCTGCCTCCATGTTGTGTGTTGAAAGACCAAAGTTAAAGGTTTCTGTATGTGTTGCAAAACGTATAAGAAAACTTCACAGAGTAAGTTAGAAAGTAAGATAGAATCTTGTATGTGAAGTGATACGTATTGCAGATTAATTACGCTGTCTAGCCCCGTGGTCAGTCTCTAGTAGGGTCCATGAGCAGATGCCTAGAGAGAAAGAGCAAGTCAAAGGTTTATGATGCCTTTAATCCACCTCTGATCTCTGCTTGTTTTGAAGTCAGGGGATTTTTGAGCTCCAAAGTAGTTCATCTTTGTAACTTGCTACCTCAAGAGATCTCTTCCAGATACTTCATTGGTCTTATGAGACTATCTTGTTATTGTTACATCTGGTGTGGTGTATTACTCATACTAGTTAAATTTAATGTATGGATGTTGCTTCCTGCAGTGTATCAAGTACTACAAGGAATACTATTTTTATTCAGATTTTCAAAACCTTTTATTCTTTT